TTATTAATATATGCATGCTTTTAATGTCGTTAAAAGCATACATTTTCCTAATATAAAACTTTAATTCTTATATATATTTTAGCAAGCCGAGGACCGCACGTGACCCACCTTGAACCTTTTTTGGGGCCCGTGAGATTTATCACACTTTTACAAAATATATTTATTCTATAACGATCAAAGTAGTGAAAACCAATGTATTAAATAAATGCATGATGTATGCATCCATATATTCGAAAATTGTCGAAATTATGAGAAAAAATTAACTTTGATTTAAATGATATTCTTGAGAATATATGACATATAATGCCTGCTTTATTTATGAGTTTACTGTTATGAGTTCACAGAATAATTAAATAATATTCTGCGAATTCATGATGCGAGCGCATCGATTTACAAATGTTAAGTGAAAGGGTGGAGAAACAAATATCGCACTAGTAAAATAAATATTTTTTAATGATTTCATTTTTTTTTATTTCGTTTATATTTCATTTTTAGTGTTATACATTTCTTAACAATGTGCGTTTAGTGTTATTATTATTATTATATATGTTTACATAATAATAGTAAGCACAAAAAGGATGACTCATTATGCTTCAATTTATCACTCCAAAAAATATCCATATTGGTCTAAATCTAATATACAGATATATAATTTTATATGCGTCCCGCGGAGTTATGATGCATTTTGAAAGTGGCCCGCAAGATAATTTGGGTTGGCCACCCCTGATATAAAAATTTATTTCTTTTTGAAATATTATAAAGAAAGACATTGTCAACAATCTATTTAAATACAGGTTGGCCATTGAAAAACTGAAGGATTTGAGACAGTCATAATTTATACTTTTTCAATCTTTATTATTTTTTTTTGTCGTATATAGTGTATCTTTGGAGATTAAAACGGATACGTATGATTACAGCAACTAATGAAAATAACTGGAATAGAAAAATAATCATTGAATTTTTCTATTTATGAGAGTTTACTTCAGATAAAATACTAGTAATTTTATGTTAGAGCAGGGGGGGCAAACTCGCGGCCAGCCTTAAATATTTTTGCGGCCCGTGAGATTTAGCACACTTTTACAAAATATATTTATTTTATAATGGCCAAAGTAGTGAAATACATTGCATATAAAAAAATACATTTGCGCATCCATATATTCAAAATTACATCAAATATGCAAAAGAAATAAGAAAAGTTACAGCTTATTTTAATTAGAGAAAACAAAATTGTTGAATTATATTCCTCTGCCTTTCATGTTGAAATCGATTCGGTCCTATAATATTTCGAAAGGGAACTGGTTGAGTTACAATGCAATATTGAATTAAAATATATTTTTGAAACATCACAAAAATAGATTTTTACAACACTTACATCACAAAAATTTTTTTTTTTCCGATTTGAGAAATCGGGTACAAAAAATTGTCAGCGGTTTGGGTTAAAATTACACCTGCGAATCCTTTTTTTTAAAATTAAATTGACCAAACACAAAACACGTTCAAACATAACGGACGCTAATATGCAACACCAATTACTAGGTGCAAATATCCAAATTGAGATCGATCTGCAAAATCTAGTGAAAGAGTGGGGAAACAAATATCGCACTAGTAAAATAAATATTTGTTAATGATTTGTTTATGTTTATATAATTTTTATATTTCATATTTAGAGTTATATATTTCTTCACAGTGCGCGTTTAATATTATTATTATATTATATATTTTTACATGTAAGAATAATAGTAAACACAATAATAACTCATTGTTTCAATTTTTCACTTCAAAAAAATGTCTGTAGTGGGTCGAAATCTAATATAGGGACGTATAATTTTATATGCGGCCCGCGGAGTTAAGATGTATTTTCAAAGTGGCCCGCAAGATCGTTTGTGTTGGTCACCCCTGTGTTGGAGCATTTCAATCAAAGTAAAATATGATAGCATGATTTGGAACCTAATCACCCAGTATAGAAGACCTAGATCAATCGGCGATCTTCTGGGTAGATCTGCCCTATTATTATCCTAAGTTTATTTTTATTTTGTAACATTCAATTATAAAGTGGCCACTGAGTACTTACTAAGAATATATATATATATATATATATAATTATATTAATAATAAAATAAATTTTAATTATAACAAATCTAGTTTTCCGTTTAACAAAAAAATAAAACGGAAAACTGATTTTAGATGAATGTTTAGTTAATGGCAAAATTGTGAAAGTATTTAAATTATTATTGTCGATTCCATTCATAATTTGGCAATGTAGTGACTAATTTTTATATATTAATAATGATTTGGCTATTAAATAAAAATAAATTATGCACCGGTTTTAATAAAATAAAATAAACGTATTACAATGAATAAAGCGCATTTAATGCATATTACAAGAAGCTTAATTCGATAAATGATATTATACATGATAAATAATATCAGATATGTTTGTAGTTTTCAGATATTTTGTAGGGAAAAATATCTAAAATATATTTAATAAAATATATTTCTTAAAATACTTATGTAGTCTAAAGTTTCAAATATATTTTCCAGTAATAACAAATGTAGAATCAAATATAAACCATTCGAAGTACAAAAAATGCTAGTGCAGATGATTTTTAACTAAAATATTAAGAAATAAAATCAAAGTAAAATATCTTCAAAAAATTAAACGCAAACAAGTAGAAATTTTCATAAATATGGATTAAATAAAAATGTGGATATATTGGTATTTTTCATTCACTGAAATCGAAAGCAAAATCAAAATGCAGATAATTAAAATATTGATCGTCAAATAAACAAAATTAGATTGAATAAAACGATATCATTTGTTCGACAAACTTTTGATTAAATAGATTGGATTTTTATTATTATTTTCTAGGTAACAGCCAGATTTCCTTTTATAAAATACTTTTTAGTTTGATTAAACAAAAAAATAGCAATCAATGATTCTTAAAGATAGTAATAAAACATGAAGAAACATATGAATATTTGTAATCATTGCCGGAATTTTTGTTTCGTAAAAATACTATATTTGAATAATATTTATTTACTTTGCATAGAAAACAAGATTTGAATTTCTCAAATTCTAAACAGCATAAAATGAATAAAGGTAAACATAAAATGACCAGTTTTCAAAAGTACACTTACTAAATATTATGCTACGAAAATATGAAAAAAAATTATTAAAAAATTAAATACATAAATTTAATATTTTTTTTTTTAAAAATTAGTGCTTTTATGCTACGGTTGCTATAATTCTTTTTAGCTTCTTTTTGCCTGGCTTCTATAATTCTTTTAATGCTACGGTTGCTTAAATTTTTTGAATTTGTGTTAATTAAATTAAAAATTAAAATTGTATTATCAAATATAGCTTTTGTGAATCTGAATTTATAAATATATGCCAGACAAAACGTTGGAAACATGCAAGATTATTTCTTGAGATAATACAAATCATTTGTATAATTTATTTTGTATAAAATTATATTAATAATATTTATTTAATTATTAATTAATTTCGTCTAAAATGAAAAATGGGAAATATTATTGCACTATTAAACAAAGGAAAAAAACATAGGAAAAAATTATTGAAGGAGAAAAAAATGCATATAAATTACACAAAATTATATAAATAGATAAATATAATTTGATAGTATTGATTGATTGATAAATAGATAATTGAATGATAACAATAAGTGATTGATAAATTCATTCATTGATAATATAATACATAGATAATTTGATATAGATACAGATAATTTCGAAAACAAATACAAGTCAGAATTTATAATTTTAAATATTATATACATTATTATTCATTTGTAAAATATTTTTAGTGAATAAAAAACATTCTGAAGTAACATTTTATAAATGTTTTCTACAATCAGAAAGTCAATAAATCACATTACTAAAAAAAACCAATCAAATGAAATAAATATTTTTATATTATGATTATATTTAGTCTAAAGATGGAGAGATTTAATTTTCTTATTCTAAAAAATAGATTTTTGCATCTTTCAAGTCTTAATCAAAATTATATCCGCACATTCGTCTTAAAAATATATTCATCCAAAACATGTAAGATAACCAGATTAAAAGTTATACAATCTTTAAGAATAAAATCACTTTCAAACTTAAACAAAAGACAATGCAAAAGTTACCTGCTACTTCACAGAAAATGCTTAAAAAAAATAGATCGATAAAGATAAATATGAAAACAAATACCAGTCAAAATTCATAATTTTAAAGGTTATATGCATTAATATTATTCATTTAAAAATATTTTTAGTGAATAACAAACATTTTTAGGTTGCATTTTTTAAACATTTTCTACAATCAGAGATTTAATTAGTCGCAATACTAAAAAAATCAAATTACATAAATATTTTTTATATTATGGCTATATTTAGCCTAAAGATCAAGAGTTTTAATGAATGTATCTTAAAAAATTGTTTTTTGCATCTTTTATGTCTTAATAAATTATACTTGATTACTCGTCTTCAAAAGATTTTCATTTTAAAACATTTAAGATAACCAGATTAAAAGTTGTACAATCTTCACGAGTAAAATCACTTGATGTTTTAAATTTAAACAGAAGAAAATGCAAAAGCTACCTGCTGTTTTACAGAAGTTTAAAAAAAAATAGATTGATTAAAGATAAATACGAAAACAAATACAAGCCACAATTTATAATTTTAAACGTTACATTCATTATTATTGTGTTGTTGTTTGTTGTTGTTTCTTATCCCACTTGGCTGGCCAAGCCCACAAGCCCATATGGACTCATGATTGAAGGGGAAGGAAGCAGCTTCTGTTGTGATGGAGCACCCGTAGGTAGAAGCCTGACTTTTGCTCCGTGACGCTCTTACAGTCATAGGAGACCGGGACCTACGGCTTAAAGTGGATTCCGAACCACTACAAACATCCATGGCACCGCCGGGATTCGAACCCGAAACCCTGGGCACCGAGCGCCAGAGCGCTAGACACTCGGCCATTCAGGTCCCAAATTTGCCAACGGCACGCAGTGTTCCCAGGTGGTCACCCACCCAAGTACTGACCGCGCCCAATGATGCTTAACTTCGGTGATCTAACGAGAACATTTTATTGTACATTTGAAAATTATTTTTGTGAATAACAATCATTCACAAGCTATATTTTTTTTAAAATATTCTCTATTATCAGAGAACAAAATAATCGCCTTACTAAAAAAAATCAAATGAAATAAATATTTTTATACGATGGTTATATTTAGCCTAAAGATGAAATTTAATTATCATACCCTAAAAAATAGATGTTTGCATCTATCAAATCTTAATCAAAATTATATCCGTAATCCATCTTAAAACATTTAACACAACCAGATTAAAAGTTGTACAATCTTGAAGAATAAAATCACTTGAAGTTTTAAACTTAAACAAAAGAAAATGCAAAAGTTACCTGCTACTTTGCTGGAAATGTTTCCACGCTTTGAATTAATTCGATCGTTTTTACACGTTCTCTTGCAGAACATTTTCAAAAAGGTAAAAAGAGAAACCCTGTTTCTACAACATGTCCGATAATAGAAAGAAACTCCTGGCACTTTCAATTTGTTCTACTGTTAATCTCAAAAAGGGAAGTTCGGAATTCGAGCTGACATAGAAGAAGGGAAAGAAGTCTCGTCTCACACAACGAGACTTAATTCAAAATCTTCACTACTTCCAATAATACTTGTAACTAAATAGTTTCAGCAGTAAATTGAATTTCTTACAGTTAAGTGGATTGCAAGTTTTTGTATTTTTTTCTGGAATGGATTTGAAATTTGCAATTTTTGACTTTTCTAAGTTGCTTCATTCGGTAGTATGTAACATGATTTAAAAAAAGAAATACTAAAATTTGATTTTAATAATTGGTTTTTTTAGCATATCTATTTTTAAATAAAAGCTAATTCAGATCAAAATTCTTAAAATATAAGTTAATTTTTGCTTTATTTTAAGAAAAGTACTTTTTATTTTACTTAGATGACTTGACTTGAATTGGTGCTTTGAGATGTATGTTAGCTGGTGCTGCTTTATCTCAATTTAAAATACTAAGTTAACAGATTTTCACAAAAGTGAAAATGAAACCTATATAAAGCAACTGCTCTGGGCCTAAATGTCCTAGGGTCTGGTGCTCGGTACCCCAGGTTTCGGGTTCGAGTCTAATTATTTTCTCAGCAGACCACATACATTGGGGCATGATGGCTGAGTGGCTGGCATTCTGGTGCTCAGTACCACAGGTCTCGGGGACTCTAATCCCTGGGGTGATATGGATGTTTATAGTGGTTCGGAATCCACTTTAATCCGTAAGTACCGGTCTCATATGACTGTAAGATAATCACGGAGCAAAATCAGACATCTACGGGCGCTCCATCAGAACAGAAGCTGCCCCTATCCCTCCATTCATGAGTAGATCACTTATAGGATGTCCGTCCCACATTGCAGGACACTGAGGATTAGTCACAAAACAACAGGAACTACTCTGAAACTCGAAATTCTTGAATTCATTGCCTATGACGGATTACAAAATACCTTTTAAAAGAGAATAATAATTGTTCGTATTTTCCAGCAACGAAAAGAAAATAAATAAGATGAGTAAATTTGAAAAAGAAAGAAATGTATAAAACTGCAGATCAAATAGATCATAACACTTTCACAGTAGAATGATAATTAGAACATATGAAATACAACTAGTACTTGATATAAAAAGTGAATTAAAAATAATAACCCCAGAAAGAAAAAGTGGGTTGTCCCATATCTTATATGTTAAGAGACTGTTTTTTAATTATAATCATGATTACAATTACAATTCTTTGTAAATTATAATTTTCCCTGTATGTCCAGGCCAGTTAAGGGAATTGAAAAAAGTTTTTTCGGGATGAAACTGTGATTTTAGAAATAACTTTTCTTATCATTATCAGTGCCATAGCATAAAAGCTCATGAGAAATGGAAGCAAAATTTTTAAACTAACTTTATTGCGCAAACAATGATTACAATTTCGGATATAAAAATATGAAAAAAAAATAATAATCACTTATGGTTTATAAAATATTAACATTGTTGCATATGAAGGGAAATAAATTTTGAGACCATCTGTTTAACTTCAGGACTGATTGTTTATTATTTGTTGTTTGGGCAACTATGAATCAAATTTTATACAACATTTTGTATAGATAAAATTTGTTTTATGCTCGTAGACTTGACTTAGGTGATTGTATAATTCGCGTGTTCCTTATACTCTAAATTTTTGAATTCTTAGTTCTGGTATGATTGCCGTTGCGTTAATTTCTGTTTATTCTTTTTATGTCTTTGTGTAGTCCCATTTTTGCCTTTACATTTTGGATGTGAGAAAAATTGCATTCTATAATCTGCTATACATTATTACACTTTTTGAGACATCTAGATTCGAATTCTATCTCTCCATGCAATGCTTTCTGACAAAAAAGCAAATATTGTACCTCATCTAAAAACACACAAAACTGTCTCAATTTATTCTTTTCTATCTCTTTAATAGTTAATGTAAGTTGATGTGTCTGACGTTATGAAACACGTTTGATTCTGGTGTAATTAAGTTCTGTGTGATATTTTCAATAAATTTCAGCTATTTTATTGTTTAACATTGTATATTGTCCTAAAACGAAGAAATTTTAAAGACTGTTTTATTCTGTTATATATAAATTTCATGAGGATTAATTATTCAATAGCGAAAAATAAGTCCATTGGAAGAAAATTAATATAGCGATAATCAAATAAACAAATTTGCATTTAAGGAAACGATATTATTTCTCCCATATACCTCTGATTGAATTGATTTGATTTTAATAAATATTACCTATGTATATGGCATATTTTTCAGTACAAACAATCTATTTTATGTAAAAGTAATTAAAATCAAACAAAAACTTGTTTATTATTACTATTCTTCTTTCGTAATTGGCGCAACAGCCGCATGGTGGGCCAAAGTAATCTGTCTACTGACAAATTTCGAGACAGAAGATGTTTTCTTTTTACGCAATAGTGATGTCAGCTCTATGTCTAACACTCTACTGTCATATTAGACCGAGATCTATTGTTTAAAATAGATTCAGAACCACTATAAACATCCCTGGAACCTTCGAGATTCGAACCCGAAACTTGAAACACCGAGCGTAAGAGATTATTACGATTACAAATTATAAATATCATTAATATGGGTTAATAAGTGAGAAATTCGCAGTACTTTAATGTACATAAAATGTCAATCTATTTTAAAAAATAAATAAATAAAACAAAAAAGGAAATAAATAAAATAACAGCTATTATTATTATTATTTTGAATAAAGGAAAAATTGAGAAAAGTGGAAATTACGAAATCAAATTATAAAGGAAGCAAAATATACATTTTAAATGGAATAAATGATAAAAAAAAAAAATTGTCATTAAATCTTGTTTCACCATAGAAATTTTTAAATATCTTAAAACTTACAATTTATTAATAAAAAAAATACAAAAATGATTATTAAGTTATTGCAAATTTTTGAAGTAACCTGTAATTAATTTTAATGAATTATTTTCCTTAGCATAAAATTGCTTTCTGAATCAAAGAATTTTATAACAAATAAAACTGCTTTGGATTTCTAACAATCTCCATTTAAAATTATAAATTATTTTTCATTCTAGCAATACATGGCGTAATTGAAAATGTAATCATATAATTACTGTCGAATTGAAATAAGTAATAATAGATTTAAAGAAGTAATCATATAATTAGTTTTGAATTGAAATAAGTAATAATGGATTGAAAGAGGTAATCATATAATTGTTTTCATTTCTACATGACGCTGTTTGATTTATGAACTTAATCATATAAAGAATTTATCATAATTGATAATACTGCAAAAAACTATATGCTAAAAATAAGTAAAAAACTAAATTTTTTATATGTAAGGATCTAGAAAATATATATATTTATATGATAAAATTAATAAAAAATATACATTTATATGATCATTCATTTCGTAAATTTAAATCGTATCATATTTTTGAAATTTGTATTCAATATATAGAACCCATTATTTTGCAGAATAAAGCAAACTTTTTAACATGATAAAAAAAAATTTCGTTGCTGAAAGTTTTGTAACGTTTATAATGAAATCTTTTACAATATACACATTTTTAATATTTATTGAAAAAAAAATCCGTTTTGAAAAATTTATTTTTTGTTCAATCGGTGGAACTTTTTTTATGCCATACCGTTTCACCCTTCTTCAAGTGTGTATGCTAAAAATAAGATAAATACGGCTTTTTTATATGTAAGGATCTAGAAAATACATATATTTATATAAAAATAATAATGCATTTACATTTCTGAGATCATTAACTTCGTAAATTTAAAATATTTCATATTTTCAAATTTATATTCAATATACAGAATCCATTATTTTGCAGAATAAAGCACAAATTTTTAACATTATAAAAAGAATTTCATTGTTGAAAGGTTTGTATCTTTTATAATGAAAACTTTCACAATATACACATTTTTAAATATTTATTTTTAAAAAAAATCGAAATCTGTTTTGAAAAATTAATTTTTTGTTCAAAATATTCTCACTATTTTTCTAGTTGAACAAAAATAAAATTCATTCAAATTCTTTAGAGAATAGCTCTATGAATATGTAAATTCAAATTTTTCTAAAAGAATGTTTTCAGCTATTTTCTGAAGAAATGTTTTGTACTGCTGCGATTTAAAAAAAATAATAAAACTTATATTTGGCATTCATATTTAATTTCACAAAACACAAAGTATTTCTTCTAAAATGGGCTAAGGAAATATTCGTCTAGGAAAATTTGGACTCATATATTCATAGAGCTTTCTATTCTTCTGATTTTTTGAATGAATTTTATTTTCTTTCAACTAGAAAAAAAAATATTATATCATATATTGAATATCATTTATTGAAAACATTTAAATCAAATATCGGATTTCCTTTTTAAATAAATATTTAAAATTTGTATATTACATATATAAATATTTAATATTTGTATATAAATTTTGTATTATAAGCTTTCATTATAAAAAATACAAAACTTTCAACAATGAAATT